TCAGCAGTAATCTTGACAGTCGCTGATGATGTAGGCCTGAGTCTCCAGTTCCAGTGATCCCTTCCTCCAGTTGTTGTTACTCCCCTGTTTTCTTCTGGAGCCACGTGTCATCCTTTGAGATGCTTTCTGCTGTTTTATCATTCCTAGACGCAAGGCTCGCCCCTGCGCTTCCCCCCTGCTCTCTGGGGCCCTTCAGATAGGGCTAGGTTCTGGCACATCCCTTCTTTGGAAAAATGCATAGGGTAATCAGCAAAAATGAAGTCTTAAGCTTCCAGCTTGGTTTCTGGGCAGCGTTGCCAGTCAGGCAATGCTGTATTTGAACAGGTTGGGCTAAGACTTGGAGAAGTGAGGGGCATGGAGACAGTCTGCTTTAATACGTTACAAAAGAGTTTTTTTCCCCAGAGTCTGAGCAGAAAATGGAAAGTTGAGGCCAAATTGACATCTTATATGCAATTGCTACCATGTAAATTTGGGGAGGACTTGAGAACCATGCTTGGCATAAAATTCCACAGTTATTTGGAACAGGAAGAAAGGTCAGAGCATGCAACTTGTTCCATAAAATTCACATGAGCTGAAGGCCCAGAGGAGGTTGGTTCCTGAGCAGGTGCCTTGGCAACGTTTGGGGCAGGTACAGAACTGCTGGGTTCAGACTAGCCTCTCTGCCATTGCTGGCTCCTTTAGCTCTTACATGCCTGGTGTCCTCAGCACAGCCTGAATGGAAACCAGCAGCCTGGGAGCAGCAGGGCTTGCAATTGGTGAAGCCAGGGCAGAGTCCAGCAGGGGCCCTTCAGAGAGTGACCAAGCTGAGAATATGCAGTGCTGTCACCAGCCTTGCCATGGACACATCCACGTGAACAGGAAGTGGGGTTCCTGTCTCCCTCTAGTTATCAAGTCTTGCTTGGCTTGAAACTTTAGTTGGTCAATGAGAGGAGGATAAGCCATGGCTTCTGTGTAATGTCAGCGAGGAAAGGGTAGGAAACCCACTGGTTCGTTCTGCAGATGAACAAAGAAGTGCCTTTAGCTACTTTATCCTTCCAGAACAAAGAGTGGCTCGTGAATACCATGGCTATTTCGTCCCTAGCAGGGGTAGAAACAGCCCTGCACCTGGAATGAAATGTTGTCCAGGGTTCCTTTGGCTATATTTGCACTGTCCTGGTGTGGCTACGTCTACGTATGTGTTCTGCCCATGAGTATGTGTTCCCAGGCTGTCTGTGCAGTCTCAGCCCTGAAGCATTCTCAGGGCAAGGTAACAAGGTGAGAGCTGATCGCTAGGAAACCTTGGGATGGTTCAGTCCTTGGCACCACCAGTGCGTCTCCCCTGGTGGTGTCTGTGAGGAGTGTCCTTCCTGGAGTTACTTGGGTCACCAGAGTACCTCTGTGGCCTGCGCTGTACAGCCTGCCCTAGTGTCTCTCCCTCTGGGCACGCTGCCTCTTGACAAGCTCCCCTGTGACCAAACCAGCGATGTGCCACCTGCCAGGAGGGCATGCTCTGAAGCATGAGGCAGCCTTGTGCTGGAGTCCGAGCTGCACGCATAGGCCTGCCAGCACGGTGCCTGTTCCACTCAGAGGGATGAACAGAGGTGCCTGAAATCACAACGCAGCCAAGTTGCCTGTGTTCCCGTAGCTCTTCAGCTTGTAATGGTAGCAGGCCCTTCAGCTCAGGCTCTTGCGCTGATCCACATCCACAGGGATGCAGATAGGCTGGATTAGCTGCTAGTTTGGGTAACACCTGGGAGCGACTGAACAGGGCACTGTTATCATGGCCTTTGTGCTTCTGTCCAGGCTCTACTGCTCCTCCTAACCCTGGTGCACTTGTTTCTTTCAGCTCATTTCTTCTAAGGTGCCCAAAGCTGAATATGTCCCAACGATTATCCGCAGGGACGACCCTTCCATCATCCCCATTCTCTATGTAAGTATATCACTACTTCTACCTCTGGGAGTGTGGGCGCTGGCTCCATACAGTGATTTATTCTGTCCCTGTCCCCCTTTCCTGGTAAGGTGATTCTGAAACGCAGATGTGATTCAGAAAAGCTGGCAGAAAAGGGCCAGGGGTGTGTCAGGCCCAGTTTGGGATTTGTTAGGGCCGCTCTGTGAGGGGCTCAGATCTAGGGAGAAGGGCAAGGTGGAGTGAAGATTACACATGTGGGCTGCCAGACTATGCAAGCCCAGCCAGGTGGTATGAGAAGGTGAACAAGGGAAAGGGGGGCAGGCCTGAGCACATGGGCAGAGGCGTATGTTGCCAGTCTCAGGACTTCTTATGCTCATTCTTAGATAGTGCAGGACCACAGAGCTCTGTAGTGGAGAATGGACTGAACCATCACGCCATGTGCACAGGTACATCCCTGCCAGTCATGAATTTAACCTTGATTTTTACACAGGCCTCCCTAGGAGTCTGAAGGCTTGAGCAGGTGCCCGAAACACCAGCAGGAAATCATGGGTCTCTTTTCCTCATTGCTTAATATTCACTTAATTTGAAAGGGAAGGGTTGGACTGCCCAGAAAACTCAGTTTCAGTGTGCAGCAGATAGTGCTGCTGGGCATCTAGCTTCGTTGCCTCTCTCTTCCTTGGCGAGTTGTACTGTTGTAGTGACCCTGCTGGTCCAGATCTAACTGCAGTGCTTGAGGCAGGTGTGTTGGGAGTGTGGCTGTTGTCAACCACCTTGGGCATGCGTAAAGCCATGGGTTGGCTACAAAACCTGGGCCGAGAGGCAAGTATGCACTGTTGGTGCTGACCATATCTGATGGTATTTGTGGTATTTGCATTGGACCTGTGTCCCCCTCATCAGTCTGTGGGATTCATCTCTGAACCTTTGGATGGAGTTGGTCTTCACAGATCGTTCAGTCTTCAGCTTCTCTGCTGAGACAGTTTTCAGGGTGGTAATTCCTGTGATGTGCCCAGAGGTCATCAGTTGGTTTGATTGTGCTTTAGAGCATGTGTTTCCCTGGAAACATGACTGCATGCTGTGTTAGAGACATCTCTGTAGATAATGTCATGGAAGCTGGCATAGTGACAGCTAGTCTTGATTAATGTTCTCTGTTGGTTTCCAGGACCACGAACACGCCACCTTTGATGACATCCTAGGTATGTGAGTGTTGCTTCCCTTTTCTTAACTTCTGCCCATTGCAAATATAACGGAGCAGTATGTTAATGTCACTCCACTGCCCTGTGCTTCAGCTGTCATTCACAAAGGCATTTTATCAGCCCAGTGACATCTGACAGTCAGTCAACTGATGTTGGATATGCTGCAGTAATAAAACTTCACTTCCATAGTGTGTTTTCTATATCTGTGCTCCCAGTTTATGAAGGGGAAGCTGAGGCACAGGGCAGCAAAGGGAGCTGTTCAGTGCATCCCAGTAGGTGAGTAAAAGTATTAACAGAGGGTCAGGACATTCTGAGTCTGGTCCAGTGCTGTGATTACTAGAAAACACTGTCTGGTGCTGCACCATACCTTACCTGCTCTGCAATTTTTCTGCTGTGGTTTTCTACTTCCCACAGCATGAAAGCAAAGGGTTTGCTTTGACATTAGTGGGAATGTGCATGCTGAGCACCCCTCACAGCTTCCCCCTCCCCCCCGCCACCTTCAAGATTAAGCAGTAATGAGAAGAAATAAGACCTATTCTGCAAGACTTGTTTTTATCTTCTTCCATGGCTCATCTTTCCCAACATGCTTTTTTGCAGAGGAAATAGAGAAGAAACTCAACATTTATCGGAAAGGCTGCAAGATCTGGAAGATGCTAATATTTTGCCAGGTACATGACAGTTGTTAAGCCCTTGGGTTGTTTGTTACAGATTTCTTTGTCGGGGAAATTAAATGGAGGAACTGGTATTCCAAAGCCAGGTTCTGTTAAAGTAACCCCATGTGTACAGCTTCCACTTCTCATTTCCCCAGACAGTGAGCGGTCTCAAGCTGCTGTGAAGGCAGCAAATAAAATTTGAGTTAGTGTAGCCAGCTCCAGGGCTTGGCTGCTTCTCAGCTGCTTTCAAGGAAACCTGGGCAAACTAATGTTAGAACGGACCTCAAAAGGAAGCTTTCAGAGAAAGGATCAGGTATTTGCAATGTGATGGTCGTAGTTTTCACATGGCTTCATCATGGCACTGACAGTGGTGGGTGCTGTGGATAAGAACAGCAGGTGGCATGGCTTGGAGCCACGGTGGAGGCTAGCATACTGCTGGAGAGAGGGGTCAGGTATGAGGCTCACTGAGCTGTGGGTGGGACAGGCCCTGCTGCATCTGGTGCTTGGCTGGGGATTTCCTTTGCAAGTATCTGGTTCTTGAGGGTGGCCAGCACTGGACTCCCCCAGCAGCAGTGCAGGGAACCTTGAAGTGAGTAGTTAGGAAGCTAACCTAACTTGAACTTCCTCCCAAATGCCTAGTTCTGCAAAATAGTTTGCAGTTTAGTGACCTGAATATTGCAACTCTTAATTTTCCCGATGTTGTGCTGGATCTCCTTGTTATTCTTTTAACCTCCAAATCCCAGTTCTGCAGCAACTTCTTACCTGCTTATCCCTGCTTTGCTCAGCTCCTTGTCTGCCAACCACAGCAAGTCCCCTAACGTCCCCAAATGAAAGGGACTTTCTTTGGTCGTCCCTATTACTCTCCAGCCACCACAGTGAAGACTTTTTTTTGTCTATCATTGTGTCTCTCTAGAGTGAGGTGAGTTATATAATAGTAGAAAACGGAGAATCCAACCCACAACACAACTGTATGTGAATATTTCCTGGATAAGGGCTGGGGTGTCTGTGCTATGGAGGTTGTAGCAGCGACACCAGCCTGGCGTGTCCGTTCTGCTCCCTTGTGGTACTTCTGGGTATGGCTGCGCAGAGCAAGAAACACATCCAGGGTCTGTTTCTTTAAAGCCTGTGCAAGGTAGTTTGCGTCTGTCTCTTTTTCTTGCAGGGAGGTCCTGGTCACTTATACTTGTTAAAGAACAAAGTTGCCACCTTTGCCAAAGTGGAGAAGGAGGAAGATATGATCCTGTGAGTGGCTTGGTTACACTGCAGAGTTGCATAGCATTTTTCTACTCTATTTACTTAATGTTTGTAGCCTACCAGGAGAGATGGAGGGAGCTGAGCTGGTGTTGTCTGGGAAAGAGGAAGCTGATGGGGGGGGGGGGGGATCTAATAGCAGCTCACAACTCCTTGAAGGGGAATTCAAAGATAGCAGAATGAAGCTCTTCCGGGGTGGTGCAGCCTTGGGACAGATCATCAGAAACCTGGGGGATCTCCAGCCTCGGAGGCTGTTGAGACTCAGCTAGACAAAGCTGCGGCCAACGTGACGTAGTGTTGGCAATTGTCCTGCCCTGAGCTGGAGGTTAGCCTAGAGACCTCCAGAGGTCTCTCCCACCGAACACTTCCCTGACTGTGTTTCTACGCTAACCCTTGGGTAGGGGGGCACTGGTAGATTCGTGCTTTTATCTGCTGTGTAGTGTCTCTGGGCTTTCAGCTATAGATTACCAAAAGAGGAAAAAAAGTTTCTCTCCTAACAAAGGCTTTGCTGACCACCCAGATACTTGCTCTGTTGTTCTGCTGCAGGTTTCCTTCCTGCAGCAGAAACCAGAACGTGCACTCATGCCTCTGTTGCTCTGAAGTGGCTGAGGTAGCATTTCTCAGCAGGCGACTAGTAGCAGAAATCCAAACTGTTCCCCCTTCAGCTGTCTAAAGGCAGCATCCAGTGGCAGGGGGAACTGGAATCTGTCTCTCAGTCTCTGCAAAGTCTGCTCAAAGTCCAGCACCTTACTGTAAACCGCTGACGGGGGGAGGGAGGGTTTTAACTAGCATGCCAGCCTGTGAACTGTGGTCGCTGAGGCAATTCTGCTTCTCCTTGCAGAGAGTTAAACTTCGCCTGTTTTGATATCTGCTTGCTTGTGCTGGCTCAAACTCACTTGGCTAACAGCACTTCATTGTGGGGGAAAGCATGTACACCAACCTGCTCATGCACAGCTTAGTGTTGGCATGAGAGCTGAGTATTAAAATCAACATCTGTTCAACACTCTCATGCTCTGGCACAAACACCCTTACTGAAATTCATAGGCATGTGTGCACGTGCACACACAAACACATGGCTTCTGAACACACTCCAAGCATAAATGATCTGAGATCAGTAATTCAGGGACCTTCAGCTGTGAACACAGAGCTGCAGTATTGCAGGCTTGTAGGTGAATGCTTCCATCCAACATGTACATGCCTAGGAGAAGGTAATGTTGCAAACCAACATCCCATCACAAACTCCACAGAAGAACTGCTGGGCTTCAGAGCCCACCAGAGGATCTGCTGTGACCCACTGTGCAGAGAAGGAGGTTGTATCTCACAGTGCACCTGATCAACAGTCACTAAATAAACCAGGTCTGACTCCGGTGAGCAGCAACAAGCACTGGCTAACATAGAACTGTCTATTTTGGTGTTATCGCTCTAGCTACGTAGAAGAAGAATCTCTCTAGCTATTCTCTGCTGATTTCATGCCCTGGAAATGAACCAGTGTACTGATAACATTCGTATTTAGAAAGAGTGGTGTTGGTAAAAACAGGAGAGGGGAAATTGGAGGGAACTGTCATGAGAAGAGAACGCTTAGTAAAATTGTTAGTCAAAAAAAAAAAACTTCTGGTGGGCTTTTCTCCCTTCTCCTTGGAACTTTCTGGCCCATTCTTGGCTTGAATGGGTGTTCCTCCTTCTCCACTATGTGACTTGGACCTGCTCCTCAGGCCCTTGCTCTGCCCTTGCTCTTCCTTGTCTAAGAACAAGAGGCTCTTTCTGGGCAGCTTGCTCCTGAGGCTGCACGTGCTTGCATGTGATTGGATAGATTTTTAAATGATCCATTTTGTTTTTTCCTGTTTCTTCCAGCTTCTGGAAGAGGTTGAGCCGGCTGATGAGTAAAATCAATCCTGAACCAAATATCATTCACATCATGGGCTGCTATGTTCTTGGAAACCCCAATGGGGAGAAGGTAAGAGCTTCCCAAGTTGCCTCTCTGGGAATGACTGCTAAGTAGCACCAACCCCAGGGAGGCAAAAATCACACTGAGCGGTCTAACCCCTTCTTTTCTGCTGGGTGGAAACATGCTGCCGTCCTATCCCATGAGTGGCTGTAAATGGACGAGCCACCCAGTGGATTGTGTCTTTCCCAGAGGGCACGGGAGGAATGGTTAGAGCAACGGACATGCAGGAAGGGACAGATCCTCAGGGGAGACTAGTCAGTCCAAACACTTGTAGTTTGGTGATGAGCTAGATGTTTTCAAGCTAGATGTTTTCAAGGGCATGTAGTGAGAGGTTTCCTAAAGGTAGGAAATAAGGATGGGCAATCCTGGGTGTCCTGGAGTTCTTCATTGTTTTCACCTGCTAACTCTCAAAATGTTTTCCTTTCAGCTATTTCAGAATCTGAAAAACTTAATGAATCCTTATAGGGTTGCCTTTGAGTCTCCACTTGAACTCTCAGCTCAAGGTAACTTCTTTTCTGTACGAATAAGCATGTCTTCCTCATCAGCCTGCCTCCTTCAGTGAGCATCTTCATGAAAAAGCAATTTTGAGTTCCCGTGAGCCCTGCCAGGAGAAAAGCACATACCACAGCTGCCTTCTTGCTTGTAATCACCTTGTGTTGTTCATTTGCAGAACCTGGTTTGCCCCTCACAATTCTTCCTGTTTACATTTTCAGCTTTATTATGTCTGAGGCTGCAGAGTCCCTTTCCAGACTACTGGCAAGGGCAAAGGTGTCTAAATACCACCGTGCCTTCTGGGCTGAGTTTAGGAGATTCACCCTAGATTACTAGGGTATATGACATCCACGGGAGAGAGGCAAATGGGAGCAGAACCCTGTCTGTAACCAAGTTTCTCCAGAGGACTCATACCACTGGTACCAAGTGGGTTGTCACATCAACAGGAGGGAGGCTTGAATGGAGCCTGGTGTAGCCATTCAGTATCTCAGCTTGCTTCACTTTTTTTGCCTGCAGCTCAAAAATTCAAAGGACTACAGAGTCCTTCCTCTCTGGTCAATGTAAATAATTGTGGGTGCAGTTTATTGAGGGACATGTAGTCAGCTTGTTCTGAAGTTGCCCTTGTTACTTCATCTTTGCCACGGTCCTTGGTACTTTGTTCTTTTGGAAGAGAAAGACATTAGGCTGTAACACTGTAGATACTTCCTCTCCTGTTCACTGCTGGCCTCAGCACTGATGAGTTATTCTTAACTCCCACTTACTGTCATAGGAATGTACAGGGGTTGAGCGCATTAGCACTGCACAGGGTTTTCTGTGCAAATCCCACCGAGGCTTGGACCCACCTTTATCCAGTGCTTGCGCAGATCTCACAGCAAACGTGCTTGTACATGTGTGCCAAGAAGCAACTTGCAGGCAAATTTCTGGTTTTGTATGCAGCCTGGCAGGTGAATCCACGGGTTCTGCAGGCATTTGTTTGAGCATTTGATCTTCCAGGCTGAAGAACACGTCTGAATTTATCCCTTTTAATCAATCTGGGATGCACTAATAATGTAACCTCTCTAATCCTTTGCAAAGTCATCTGAAACTAATCTTAATCAGCCCTCAAAAGCGAAAATCCCCTCCTTGAACCTTGTGCTAGAGTCCAGGGTTGTTTGTCCCTGGTGTTTTCAGGTACATGTGTTGCCTCCAGCACCAGCCCTGCATGGCCTTGAGTCTGTGACTGCCTTGTAAGACAGCCCCCGCTGCCCCGCTCTCAGTCAGAGGTGCCAACAGTGCAGAACACGCGTTCAAAAATGAGCTTATTGCTGCAAGAAGAGACAGCTCTGCAGGGCAGAGAGACCCTGTTAATTTTAACTGTTAATTTTCCCTAAATACTTTTTGTTTTGAATTTTAAAATTTAGTTATTTTTAACACTTCCCACAAACCGTTACTTTTTTTTTTTTTTTTTTGGTAATTTTCTAAGATCCCACAAGCCTGTGGAGGCTGGAGCTGTCCTGCACCTGAAAGAAACCCAATTTAAAAGTACTCCCCAACTGAAGGGAAGGACCTTTGTTGTTACATCTTATGCCCAAATATTGCTCTTGTGGGTTGTCAGCCCTTCACAGGACTCCCAGGTTTTCTCGTGCAGGGTGTCGGGGCTGTTGCTGACACCCCACAGCCCCTCCTTCTTGCAGTCAATGCAGAGAGGTCAAAGTCTGGAGACAGACGCAGTTCAGTTCCCACCGCCATGGACAGACCCTGCAAGGGATTTTGAGGAGCCTTTCTGTGTTTGAGGATACCTAAAAAGATACTTGGGTCTTACGGGCACCTTTACGTGCCCTGGGCACATGTGGCATGGCAGTATTCCCCAAATGAGGTATCCAGATGGGTTCTCCTGTGCCTATACCTGCGGGTGGGTTTGCTGCTGCTGCAGCCTGTCTGGTCTCTCCCTCGTGCTGCGGGCTGTAACCCCTCTGCTTCGTCTCCCTTCTCCTCCTAGGTAAGCAGATGATTGAGACTTACTTTGACTTCCGCCTTTACCGCCTCTGGAAGACCCGCCAGCACTCTAAGCTATTGGATTATGATGACATTTTATGAGCTGGAGAAGACTTTGCAAGAAGTAGTTGATCACCGGTGTCTAAGAAGTCATGCTTACTGCAGAGAGACTTTTTTACTGGCACAGGGAGCCCTTCAAAGCCCTAGAGGAGGCAGCAGCGCTGAAGGGAGGGAAGAAGGAGCCCTCAGAAGTGTATCAGGAGGAAAGTCTCCTGGGTCAAGAGAGACTGGAGGGAAAGGGTTTGACACCTCGCTCGCCTCAGGGCAGAGCCGTGGTGTCTCAGGAGGAGCTGTGTGAAACGAGGACAGGATGGAGTTCCTTGCAGAACTGAGCTGTTTTGGGTCAGAATGGGCCAGATTTGATTCCAGGTCCTTTTAAAGACTTTTGAAGCTCAGGTTTTCTTACAAAAAATAAAACAAATTACCCATGCACTACAGTAAAGAAGTGACCAGAGCACAGAGGAAGGAGGGGTTTGTACTGATGGGACCTTCTGTGCTGGGGATCTTGGAGAGCAAGGACTGCTACACCTACTCCTGCAAGCTTAGATCAAAACGATCCAGTTTCAATGTGCATATATACTGGAATATAGAATTGAAGTCTAACTTTTTTGTTTTGTTTAATAGAAAATAAGTGCAATTTTTATAGAGAGAGGGGTAAAATCCCTCCCAATATTTAATTAGTTAAAAATAACACACCAGTAACCAATAGATGAGGTATTTTTGGTCTGCTTGAAAATATATTCAAAATGGTAATATATCTTCTGTAGACATATTTAATCACCAGCAAACATGGTTTTAACGTAACTTAGCAGACCCTGCATGTCTGCTGCATTGATTAATCCAGTTTGGTTTGGTACTTTCAGAGTAGCTGTGTTGCACTAACTGTATGTGCTCTCACGAATGTGTATTTCTCCTCCAATTAGACACAACTTTGTTACTTTCTATTTTGCTGCTTGCAAAACTATATGACTTTAGTTTTGCTGGAGTATTTTAGGTTAGAAATACAGTTACATGACTGAGAATTCAGTAAGGTTCATTATGGTGTTACAATGAGTTAGAAACTAATAACCATGGTAATTTCGTGTTCATGCCAGCGTTTTGCTACGTGTTGGAAGACGAGTTTGCTTTCTCGTCTTATGTACGGAGCAGGGAGGTTACAGGACCATCGGAAATCCTCCAAGGAGACTTTTACTGAAGCATCTGGAAGAAACGCTTCTCGAGGGATACAGCACGGGTTCGTA